AACGGTAGATGCAACCGTAATTCTTGAAATGAGACAGCGGCTGGGAGGTTGCAAACGTGGGCGACCTGAGCGCCCGTCTGTCTTATTATGTACAGCGTGATAACGGACCTTTACGTTGTGTTTATTATTGTTAGCAGCTACGTGAAGAACGACTACGGATAGGCGGATGGGCTGGAAGACAAGCCGGATCCTTTTTTCTGTACCCCTGTAGAGTTAGTGTTGCTTTGAGAATGTTAGTGAGGAAGTTGGTTGGGCTGGGGTTTAGTGGCTTCCCTCTGAGCCATAAACGACTGCTCTTTTCATGAGAGACGGCCTGTTCTAAGGTGCGAGCGGGCCGAGAGCCGAAGGACGTGGAAGAGAACGAAGGATACCGTAGGCGTGCACAGAGAAATAGAACTTGGGACACAACTAGGGAGAAACAAGATGCGGGTGTAGCTGAGTCGAACGAGAGTCGTCCGCAAATGGAAGCGAAAAAGGAGGAGGGTAGTCGTAAATGCAGGAAACGACGGGAGGAGAACAGCAAAAAAAAAAAAGAGGGAAGCTATGTTTTTTTAGGGGGAGGCAAATAAATGGTGGTCAGGCAAGTAAGCAGGCAGACGCTACCTTTTCTTACCCCGCTACTGTTGTATGCTCAGGCCTAATTCAAATTATTTATTTGTATCACTTATATGATGCATACACATAAGCAGTACCGTTGCATAATAAAATGCTTCTAAAAACGAATACTGTATCACGTTAGGAAATACTGCGCCATCTTGTCTACCTTTTTGTTCTGCGCTGACCAATTTTACGGCCATTCTCGGTTAGATAAGCTAGTAGTAATAAGCGGTTAGTAAGAAATCAACAGATCATGGGTGAAATGGTTATCACCAAGACTGAAATATCACTCTTATATCAGCAATAGGAGAAACTTAACGTAATGACAAATTGTTAAGTAAAACTTCCACAAAGCCTTTAGGCGCAATACAAAGAATGTCATAAGTAGATCCATACAGACCTTGGATAGATCATAAATCAAAATAGTCGGCTGAATAATGCAACAAGGAAAGTATTATGAAGCGGTTTCGCCACATGGTAAGCGCAACGTAAGCAAGACAATGTATATAATAAGAATAGTCCTTAACTACCTCACATAATCTAGGTACATGCCTTATATCAAGAGAGGTAAACTTGCATCTTCACAAGTACGTAATTACTATTTAAGAAGTGTCAGGCCCTTACGCAATATGGGATATGACAATCATAGATATGATCTATAGTAAATAAAATTTTCTCGAAATATACTATAAATGCATTATAATTTTGTTACTATACCTTTCCTTCTACACAAGTGATAAAATATTGTAATTATATAAACTATAAATAGAATATTATGAATAAACATTTGTTGAAACATACCGTGATTTTTTCCACTCACAGTCCTAAGCGGATATTTTTGATTGAATGGTTTTATCGGTTTTACCGGATCGGGCTTTCGAGTATGCGAGTAGATGTAAAAAAAAAAAAAAAAAAACTAGGTTTGACATAATCACCAAATATACACAATCTAAAACAAGCAATTAGCATATAGCTGGAACTTGACTATACCAATTATCTCATCACTAAGTAACAATTAAGAGGCCGCAGCTAGCTGACAATTATATGTCGAAGTATATATGAACTTGAAGACACTTGAACAAAGCTTCATAATTATGATAATACATTCTATCGAAAATGGAGAAATAGGCTTGACACTCTAGCTAGCGAAGCTGTCTGGCTTTCTATGCTAGAAACATATAAAAAGTGCGGGAAGCGAAAACGGAAGAAATATTGCCCGAGCTGCCCTGCGCTTAGCCGTCCTCGTGGCATTTTTGCCCGCAGGAAACTTTTTCTGTCTCTTCCTTTGTAGCATATTACGTGGACCTCATGCAGGCCCACGGAAATGGCAGACGCATGTGCCAAAGTGGAGACGACACGTCACTTTGTGTGAGGACGTCTATGTGCAAACGCAGGATAGTCTATTTCATTGTTGTTACCAGCAAGATAAAAACCTAAAGAAATAGTATTTCAAGTAGATCTGTGTGTCCTTTGTTGTACCTGCGTGGCAAACAAAGATCTAGATTATGTTTGCCATCTACGAAGAACTGAATTGCGTATTATTCTTGTTATAACGAAATCATTAATTTTACAAAAATAAAGCATGCTTTGTATTTGGGACAATAGCGCGCAACTGTACATTGCGATGCTTACTGAAAGCAACGCCCTATAAGACAACAAACATTTTACTAAAATGCTACACGATAGCATTCTAAAACAACACACGCAGCTTCAAATATTAGTTGTTCAATATAGTGATGGCCTACTAACCTACTAGGCCGGCATGAGAAGCATCCTTATGCATCGTTTTTTGTCGAGTTTTTATTTTCGTTTCGACTTACCTCAAACGTTTTCTAATTCATCTATGCATCGCAATCCTTACGTTACCGTCAACGTAACTCATATACCATTTACATTAAAGTTAGGCAAGCCGTTTTCTTAAATTTGACGAAGGATCAAAGAGCGCATAGTCTAGCGCAGAGTCTTTGCCAGTCCTTGCGAGCACCACTGATCATATCATCTTCAGCATCATATTAGGTGGCGGTGCGTAAGGATTACATATCAGCGTTCACTAGAAACGATGGTCCATGCTGTACGTGCCTTTCGGAATCGGCATTATTTAAAGGACGAGACGAAGTCCTAGCACGTTTTCAATTCATCCATCTATTCAAATAGACTCGTACATCGGCAAGGTAGCAGCTTACCCCGACCATTCTACTACGACTGCGCGAGAAAGGTTATGCTAATGCAGACCAGAAACAAAGCTGGGTTCGCTCAGAAGTAGAACGTTGCTTGCCCTCTTCCTATTTGCCATCTCTTTCCTTGTGTCATAATCGAAGACTCAGTAACGGTATCTGCACGTAAATAATAACCCAATCAACGCTGACACTTCGAAGTCGTAGGCTTCATTGGTTAATAGTTATTCCAAGTTGGAAAGATTCGGACGGCGTCGTTGGGAGGCAACGAATGTAAGCACCCCTCCGTAACTAGTATGCATCTATATGTACATACATATGTTCCGTATAGAAAATAAAAGCATAGACGCAACAGTCTACAGCTCCAGCGTTGGTCAATGTGTGAAACAAATCGAATGCCAATCCGAATAGTGTTGAATGGATTAAAAGAGTGAAGGAGGCTGTATGGGCCTGATTGAATTACACATTATACCTTGTCCGTTTTTATAGAAGTAGCACTTCAGAAGTTCACCGATACCGATATTCGCTTCGCCGTGTGTATTATGTATTTAGGTCGTCAGGTTATTGCAGGGCACGGATGACCTCGATTGGCCATGTGGAATGAACGTCTGCTTAGTCACTTCTCTATTTGGACATAGTTGCTATGTATCAGCAAGCTACAGTGACGACTGTGAAGTATTTTCAAATCACTATATCACCCATCATCGTCATAGATCTCTTCAACTGTAGTACAACTATCACTTAGTTCGAATATAAATAGATGTACTTAAGTTAATTATCATGAAGGTAGGCTAATAACTATAATGAACTAGAGGAAAATACGTTTCTTTTCCACAGTACATTTTTAGTTAAATGAGTGATTAATTAGTTATTGATCTGAGAAGGCAGTAGAAAAATGGTTGATCCTCATAATCCAGAAGGATAGGGAAAGTTTGTCTGTAATTAGCAGCGTCTCTGCCGATTTACGATCGTCATAGTAATTGACTAAGTCAAATAAAGATTAGAAAGTAGTTTTTCACGGCTGTATACATGGGTATAATTGTTTGTTGAAGTTTATATAGTTTTGTTTGTCTAACTCTAATCAAAGGACGATGACGAAATAGCCAATTGGCCTTTCGAAATCTTCATGCATTTATCAGGCACGTGGTGATGTGGATGGCTACTTGCGTAGGTAGAGATATCTGTTTTGTTTTGTTTGCACTCGGTTCGAGGTTGTTGTCATTGAGCCTCATTCAATTGTCACCTCTCTGAGCGTCGCGCTGTTTTCGACTAGTTGTCCTGGTTTTCCTGCTGGACTGCCTAGGACTCTGCTGTGACACCAGCCTGTCGCCGCATCAGCAACACGGACAGCAATGGAGACAATTTTATTGTAGCAGAAACGCACCACAATTGACTTTGATAAAAAAAATATACACTTTTCACATTCACTAGCTGCCTTTATGGGTGTCGCCTGTCTGGGCATATAGGCACAAACTCATTTGCTCGCTATTGCCTTCGTAAGGCTGGAAACGGATGGAATAAACTAACGATGAAAGGAAGACAACCAGACGCATGGCGCCGTCTTTCCACAATGCCAGCAGCAGAAATAGCCGCATTCGGTCTGGTCGTGTCAGTCGTCTACAGAATTCAACTAGAATCTGCCACATTTCCGGTCCAGCCAAACTTTGACTCTGGAGCAGTTATCAGCTAATGCCGTTTTGTCAGCTCTGTCATTTAAGCTATACAAATCTCTTGTGCTTGCAGAAATTCTCAAAAAAGAGGAACAACAAAAATATCTCGTCCTATTTTCCTGTTTGATAATGATTGGCTTGACCTCCATGACCGTTATTCCACCCGACTTTGAATTTTCTTCCTTTGAGGCACTGCGGTGACATTCTGACTGTACAAGTAACTCATATGAATAAAAGACATTATTCTTTTTATATATCCCGATTGCATCGACAAGACGAGAAGCTCAAAGTCAAACGAGGATTCTCGAAAGCTCAAAAGCCTTGAAATTGCCATAGGAGTTGAGCATTGCGTCATCGTTGTCGTTCCATATAGAGGGCTTATCCAACTGGGTAGCCCATAACCGATCCAAGATATGTTCATAATTATGGCAGAATAGAAGAAAGCATGACTACAGCGGTAAATGTACTAAGAAATATCGTTCACGCTCTAGCCAATGAATTTTCAATGTCGACGTTCCACAAGTTCCGGTAGTGCGCGCTTGCTGGACTTATAACTTACTTTCAATGGTTTTTAAAGCCTCGTTGGCTGGCGACCGGACAAACGAGCAAGGCGGATGAATCTGAAAAAAAAGCGATTCCATTTTTATGTCCGGCTAAACGTTGTTTCAGATAGAACCTCGGACGCAAAACAGATTGCGTCTGTCTCAGTTTGCATCTCGAAGTTAACACGTATCCTAAGGATTTGTAAGTAGGTACGTCAACATTGAACTATAACTGAGCGATGACTCTGTAATCAATGATGTAATTATTTCACGGTCATAATGTAATTATCAATACTGTTTTTATTGTTCTCGTTCAACATCAGATAAACCGCTATTTGTTGAGTGACAAGGATTTTAATGTCTTGCAAATTTACTGCGCAGGCTTCGTAAAGTGTCATTTTTGGAGAGAAGTACGTATATATATATATATATATATATATATAAGTTGAGGGTAAAAAGCAAAAAAAAAGTGATTGGGAGGAACGCAACATTTAAAAGGGTCTAAGATTACCACTGCAGTAGCGTGCTTCGAACCTGCCTAAACCATGAACGGAGACGGGGTGCTTTCATAGTTGACTTCTTAGCTAGTTTGGTAGACACGCCTGCTGCGCTCTTAGTATGCTCCAAAAATGGGTTGCGCGCCTAGGGGCGGTGAAGAGGGATAAGGAAACGTAAAGTTGCGTTCTTATCCTCATTGACGCTGGTCGAAAGTACTACGAAACAGTTTTAGTAGTGGCGCCGGTCTCCTTTCTTTGCTCCGCCGCACTGTCGGTTCATCAGATCACCAGTGTTACTGATTAAGTCTCCAAATCGGATAGTGACAGCCGTCGACCCGAACTATGCCGACTACCGTCGTCGCTGCTGTCACCCATTCACTTCAGCGTATTCTGTTCGTTGTCAGAAGAGCACTGGTAAGCAGCTGTGTAGCAGCAATATCATTCTAGAAAAAAGCGGTCGGACGGCACCGTCATGCGCTGTATTGTGGATCGGTCGTCTGGAGCGTCTAACTCGTAGCACTGCTGCTACCGTTGCTATAGAAATGCTATAGAAATAGGGGCCAAAGCCTGAGAGGTACCAACGCTTGTGACATTGGGTTGGGTCGGCATAATAGACCTCTCCTCATATCTTTGCTATCTTTTGTGCTTCCTGGATATCTGGTATCGGAAATGCGATGCAGGATTCGCGGCCGCCGACTCATAGGAGCTAGCTTCAAGCGGCAAAACCAGTAGCAAGCGAGGCCGTTGAGGCCGGGGTTGACAAAGGGGGTCACTGCTGTGCAACCGTACTGTAGTGAAACTGGCCGCAGCGATCTACTGGCCCATATGCTCGAATCGTTAGACCTTATGCTTTCTCCAGCCATCGCTACAAACACCGCTACGGCTACTATCATTGCACCAAAAAATAATGGTCACTCCAACATTAGACTTTAGTTTTCCATGTCCCTGTGTATCAGCCGCCCATAAAAAAGGCCTTTGGTAAGTTGTCCCGAGAACGATCTAGTATTGGCAACTGGTAAAGGCAGACTTACGCACTAGTGCTAAATGCCCAACTCAAATGGATGGTGAGTACGAGCCTTTTTTAAAAGGGTGGGACATACACTTTGAGAAAGAAGAGAAATAGGATGTCTAAATGATAGCGATTAAGTAGCAAACAAACAAAGTACTTTTTAGTTGGTTAAAACAATGCTGACTCGCATGGGCTGATACAGGCGCCAGGGCCCTACATCAGTATATTTCAACATGTGAAATACGTGAAGACATCGAACCTGTGGACGTCGGTAAGAAGGAGACCCGTGGACGTCTCGAGGTACGCTCATAAAAGTACTTTAGCACATTTTGCGCATACATGAATCGTTGAGCACGAATGCACGAGACCTATGTGTAGGATTCTAACACAACACGTAGATGCCTTATGTTATACAAAGTAGAGGAGTTCTTATCGAGCGGTATGTTTGCTGATACATTATGTTAGCCAAGTTACATAACTGCAAAACACAAATTATCTTAATTGGATCTTCCTCGCCATAGTAGTTGCTTTATGAAAACTATCCAGGAAGTTACTGCCATAGTATTTAAAATAAACAACTGGTGATAAAGGAAATACATTGCTTTTGCATCAGGTTTGAACTTCGACAGGTTGAATATGTTAAGAAATGTGACAACAAATAATCCTAGGTGGCGCATTAACTTTTCTGGCGATGAAGAACTAATATTCGTTTCCGGAACTTGACATTCGGATCAAAACTTGTATAAAGAAGGTCTTTACTAACAACGTCACGTGTACAGGCATATATTGAATATAATCTATTCAATCTCATACGCTATAAGACTTTGACTTTAACAGAAATCTATTGAAGTTGACTCCTACGCTATAAGCTCAGCGCTTTTTATACTGCTGATTCGTCAATAGCAGTACTGCTTTTACAAAAGATAACAAACGCGCCCACTCAGGGCAAAGCTTTAAAAATTAAGGCTGCTATAGCTAAGGTCTCATGTAGCATAATCGACCATGAAATTTTTGCTATTCTTTACGGAAGGTTTAAAGTCAACGGTTCTATAGTGTTATTTGTAAGGATGAGGTGACTTTTAAAAAAATGACTATGTATTTCAGTGTACGCCGAATTATAACATAGCTAAATACTACTTACTCACCGCTTCTTACGTATATATTTATGCCGTTTAGTTCCTGTTATATACGATCATGCATATATGTTTCCATAATAGTGGCCTTTTTCTGAAAATCTCGACGCAGTCAGACGATGTGTAGTTCATCTTACATCAGTATAACTTTGTTTCGTTCGACAAATGTCTTCTCACACAATGAACTTTCCCGTCCGAATGTCACGATGTTTCTGTATAAACCGGACTTGTCTGCCTCGGGCAAGTCTGAGTGCACTTGACAACAACAACAACAACTGTAGCTGGCTGACCAATTTCAAGGTCTCCTTTGTCTAGCAGCTTTCTATTGCTCTACCTTTCAACCTGAGACAAACCTAGGATACTTCGTATCCTGTTAACTCCAGCCTAGTGCACAAGCAACTCGTGCGTTCCGACAATCGACAAAATACTGCTAACGCTTTGGAGTAGTCAAATTCCACCCCAATGATGTTCCTGTCCTTCACTTAGGGGGTTACCATACCTTTTTCGCTCGAGAACACTACTCTCGGCCAACATCGGACCCCTCCCCTACCCCCTACTTATTACTGCTTCCGCTCTCACCCAAGAACTATGGCCGACTGCCCGTTGAATTTGGCGACGGCGGTGGGTGGAGCAGTCAAAAGAGAGACAAAAAGCATAATCGAATTATAGATGTTTCCAGTTCGCGAGTTATTACTGGAAAGTCAACACACACACACACACACACACACACACACACACACACACACACACACACACACACACACACACACACACACACACACACACACACACACACACACACACACACACACACACACACACACACACACACCAATAGTTAGTAGGCGATCCCTTTTAAAACCTCGTTTACCGTGTTTTTCTACGCTGTACTCACTCTTGGTGCCATTTTACTTTGATGTCCGTATCATTTTATCTGGCGAAGACGAACAGATGAGCTTATTTTAGCGTAGCCAACCGGCTGCTGCGTACTTGCCATAAAAATTACGCTTGTGGCAGCTTAACCTTTCCAACCTAAAAGCAAGATAAAGATTTACTGAAGGGCAAAGCGGCTATACAAGTCGGTTTTGATTTTGGCATTACTTTTACGAGATCACTTATAACTGCAACAAACTTGTAGTAAAATGGTAGCTACAGCGTACCCAGCTCCTGGGCAATTTTAGCGCCGTGTCTACGGTTCTTTTCCATGGTCTTTAAATCTGTTTGTTGGAAACACCATCACAGCACACAACTTTGTCGAATTACGCACTTCAGCCGCGATCCATCACCTCCCAATCCCCCCATTAAGCCATCTGACGTCACACACTACGGTTTGTTGTGACAACATTCGTTTTTCCAAGGCTTTCTCTGAAGATTATTGTGGCCTTTGCGTCCGCAAAGGCTGAAAAGGTCTGAAAAAGCTGCAGCTGAGGCAATCGCCGAACGTCTCTGGATACATATAGATGGGTTACAAAAGTCTCGATCCCAACGATTCGTTGTTAAACACTCTAGCTTTGATTAAACAACAAGTCATTCACATTTACCTAGTACAACAAAGTCAAAGATGGGTGTTTTTGAAGATAGTCAAATTAACGGAAGTAGGGCAAACCGATTTTGCCTACTGTTTAAACGTCTTAAAAAGCTGCTACGCAAGCTTTCGTTTCATTTCTGTTAGATTTTACTATAATTATGAGTAGTGGCCAGTCCCCTTAGCTACCTTCTCAATTATATGGTGATTTACAGCTATATGTTACTTGAATCAAGTTGGCTTTTTCAAGTTGATTGAAAAAAATTTGATTAGACTGTTCGTATGTACGCTATTATCTTGAATGTCTGTCTAATTGCTGGGAGGTAGTTTCAAAGAAAGGAACAGGTGCTGTTTTTTCGACGCGGTCACGACGACCATAAATCGTCACGTTGCTTCGCCTTTCGCCAGGACCTTTACTCAAACATCTACGTTGAAGATTACTGCCATTTCCCGTGTGCTTTTTGCATCGAAGGTCTAACTAATGATGTAGACTTGCTTCGGCATTACAGAGAGCCTTGTGCAGACAACCGATACCGCCAGGTTACGTTTAACTTCCGTGGAGAGCAGACGTAAGGACTCACGGGCTAATAAGCAAGCACCGTGCTCCTGAACGCCCATTCACCGTCACAATGCGACCATCCCGAAGGCAGAGGTCGCTAACCCTCCACAACAATCATGCACATACACACCCATAGAGATACATGGTATTCAGGAAGACGTCGGACGAGTGCATGAGGCTTTCTGGGTGGTCTCGATTCCTGTTGCTCTAAATGGGTCAGGCCAACTGTGAAGTCCGCTAGGGAAGCGCTGCCTAGAACGGATCCGAACGCGTAACTGCGGATAGAAATTTTATCATTTCTCGTTTAGTAAAAACACGTTTACATCTATATGAGGAATAGCACGAAAACCACATCTGTGCTGCACCACCCTCGAATGACGGAGTGAGCCTACTAATTCAATTTTTTTTAATTTGCATGAAACTCTGGCAAGGTTAGGTTGCTGGTACAATAGGAGCAGTCCGTTCAGATTCTGTGCTGGTCTGCGATTTTACTTGGAAGAAACAAAGATTCCTTCCCATTGTTCTTTTCTCACCGCCTGAACTTTTCTCTGGCAAGAAAAAAGAGAAGGAAAACAAGAGTACAACTATTCCCAGTGCTACTATCATGTACGCTCGAAACGCAGGTCCCTAATAGAGATACATCATTTACAGTATATCTTCGCTGGCCGAACACAGCGCCGTATCGGCTGCAATTGTCATTGGCAGTGGTGGCATTTGGGTGCGCCTACCACATCCTTTACACTTACTCTATTTGCGAAGAGGCTCGCTCCACACGCCCGCTGCCGGCCAGCACCAGATCTTTATGACAGACCAAAACTGCAGACGACAACAGCCTTTTCCCGGCTCGTTCGCTCGGCCTCCGTATAAGCGTCGGCTATCTACGGCTATGTCCTATGTCAACAGCAAACCAGTCTCACGCAGTAGCGCAGACAAAGACAAGTCATCTATTTCGTCATACTCAGCCAAGCTACAAGCCAAATCCGGTAGCGAGCTGTTCTGAGAAACGATATTAATGCAAAGATGTGTTGCCAGCTTCTCGCACCGGAATGACTGTCAGCATGGTCATGTGACAGGCAGCCCGTGAAATTGTCGAATGCGCTCAATGGACTTTTCTTGCAATCAGTCTTAACAGTAGAACCGTTTCAAAATAAATAAATAAAAGGCGATGCAGACAAGGCGAACAGTTCAAGGTGCAGTAGATCCACGAGTTCGATACATATTTCCCCTGCCGCCCGCTCGTTTTTACGTATGTACCCTCCTGTGGATGTTTTTACCATACCATGACTGGCCATCTGAATAAAATAAACACTGTAACTTTAGAATACCCTCTAACGATAATATATCTTTTACGGCGTTTAGCTTCCTGCACTAAGCAATTGCAATGTGTCTATAATGCTAATTGGACCTGTATGTAACGCTTTTAAACCAGGCGGCATTTGATTGCGGAACTTGATTGAATATTGGTAGAAACATTATTTCGATCTGTAGTTCTCAACAATGTCTATATCAAAGGTCTATTACGGTAAAATCGGAGGACGTAAAATAAAATTTTCGCGTCCCTTAAGCTAAGCGATTCCTGGCAGCAAAAAATAACGGTTGGAAATTTTTACTGATAAAATTTACGATTTTCAGAGGTCTAATTGACACGCACTTAATTATTTTACGACCTTTATTGAAGTCTAATGAATTGTCTGTTAAACTGTGCTCGACGGTGCGTTCTTTCAATAACGTCGTTACTCCCGCTTCTGACAGTAGAATCGTTAGAATAATCAAAATCATAAAGCTACATTACATTATCACTGTTCTCGCTATAAATGGCTAACTATCAGCGCCTAGAGGCTTGACTATCAGACGCTTCACTTCGAACCCCGCTTAGCATCGTAGCCGGTAAAAGAGATAATAATAAATATTCGCAGTGACGTCAAAAGGTCGAGGCGACTAAAAAAGTATGGTCAAGAGTAGTTCAAGTACAATGTAAAGCTACCTGAATCTTACATAGGACAAGGCCTCGGTGGTACATTGGAAGCTTGACGCCTGTCTTGGCAAAGCTGGGCTTTATGATCTTCTAGATTGCAGAGGAGTAGTAGTCTCTTGATTCTAGTAGCAGCTTGGTACAGAAGAATCCCTCGACTGTCATAGCTGTAATAGTGGTAACAGTACAATTGAGCCAACTTTGGCCCTTTCTTTCGGCCGTCGCTCGCAAAACGGACGGACGAAGTGTAACTAGTAGCGAACTCGTACGCCAAGAACGTCGGTAGCTGTGACTGTCTGGATGGGGTCCCCTTGAACGGAGTGATCCCATCAACTGCTGGTGATTGTGATGCTGGTAAGCTACAGCCACGAATAGCGAAAGATGGAAATGGTCACAGTAACCATCCGTCCGGAGTAACCCAACAACGCATCAGCAGCCGAACAGGAACGCAGATCTCCGTACTTCGAGCGCGGTCCGTAACCAGGGGCACGAACGGAGCCAATGGTGGTTGCGGTGGCAACGACAGGGGCCCAGTATAAATAGAAGCTATCTATCCGACCTAGCCTGAACCTGGCGTGTCTATTTGCTCTTCACCTACACCAGGTTACCAAGCGCCGCAAATATTTCAATTTTTTCTTCGCTGAGGACTCTACGCTTGAGCCCACACAATGTTCCTCCTATGCTTTGTAAAAGCGACTTTTGAAATTAGACAATGGCGTACAGCATTGAAAAAGAGGGCAGGCCTCTCTTTAGGCTAATCTTGATAGAATTTTATAAAAGTTGAATATTTTATATCAGTCAAGACATCTTAAAAGTAAGCTTCCCGTTGGCTAGCACATATATCTCTCTGCGTCAATGACCACAGCAATGATGAGCGACATGACAGCCGTCGCTGGCTCAATTCTCAGCGTTGGCGGGTCGTAAACGGGAGTTTTGTCCAATGACAATACATAAAAAGGTAATGTCTTAAAAGAGGCTGCTCGCATAGTTACTGCGCCGTGTTAAAGATTAGTTGTGTAAAATCTAAGCGAGTTTATCAAAGAGTCTCCAAGCAGCCCTTGAAGCGATGCCGAAAGCTGACTTTGAAAACCTGTCAAAGGGATCAGCTCACAATACTTGACCGCTTCGTGTTTTTTAAGCTACTAATAGCAAAAGTTTGTTTTTTGTTTCTTGCTAAGAACGGACGTTCTGAAAATTTTCCTCCGATTTTTTTGTATCTGTCTACTTGTGCGCTTTTCCGATCAATTCTATTAGCCTTTCTAAACATTTTCCCTATGACTGGTTTGAAACGGTTTCTTTATTTTACATTATGGTAGTTTTCTTAATAATACATTCACATGGCTATTTGGCAGTACCCGTACGATCATCTCTGCTGTGTGCAGCTCATTCGAATGCCACAGATGTGCAGTACCGTCGCGCACAAACTTTTACCGATGCCCAATTAGCTACCAGTAACAAACAGTTACCTGAAGTCGACATATACGCACGTATAGATCAGTTGCATGAGTACGGAGTGATACATATGAACAATGACAAGAGAAACAATAATAAGAATGGCTAAAGCCACCGCTACCGGGGAAGATACACGATTGCACCGCGACGACGAAAAAGAAGACGAATTTGTCACATGGGAACAAAAACCAAAAATGGCTAGTGGGAGATAGCGAGGAGAGTTGGAACGATGACCCCCGCTTAGAACAGTCGTATTGATAAAGATTGGTTTTCCTTTCCGGCTGTGCAAAAAACACGACTGAATGTATTGGACTATATATGGCAATAGACAAATCTATAATGTAACCGTTACACAAAAGGCGCCCTGAAATCACAGACTGCAAAAAACAGACCCTCCACTTTGGGTGTATGATAAGCTAGACCACCGATAGTAGGGTGATCAGACTTTGAGCAATGCTAGACTTATGCAGGCCATGAAGTACGGCAATGTCTAAGAACAGCATAGGAGCCACACTTAAGATTATCGATGGCAATCAGTACGATTGACAAGTCGTGAAATACCGTTTTGTGCGAAGCTGAACAAATAGTCTGCTGAGTCGCGCTTTTGGCCCAGACGCATGGAAAGCGTTTGAAAAAACATATCGTCATTTAAATATAAGGCGTATACTCTTTGGGAAAGTTCCATGCATTGCACGATGGAGTCCTATAACACGCTGATCTGTCGGGAAGGTTGCGATAAGGCGAAAGGAAAATGCACAGGGCTAAATGAAGTATGCATATCTACCTCGACGAACACGCTATTTTATCTTCACTTCTCATCTTCCTCGTTGTTGCATGTGGAAGAAACGATTACTGACCGTACGTATCACTTTTCGATTTCAGCAGTTACGATGCGTCTCGATAAAGCGTTTCTTGATAGCTCGACTTTTTAGTTCTCTCATTCTTATTCCGTTATTATGTAAGCCAGAATTACGACGATCATATTTGCGCCATAAATATCTACAAGAAGTTTCTTACTTCTTGTAGATATTTATCTCCTCATCTCAAGCCTTTGGTAGCCTCCCCTCGACGAGCTGAACACCAACTACCACGCTCCGACCGCCATTACTTCCAATGCTACAGTTATAGCTGTTACAAGTTTGGCCGTCGTCTTTTGCTTCAGTTGGCTGGTGTACGATAGATACGTAACGAATGGGGTCTCATAGTGTCTTGCTTTCATGTTTTGCTACTAAAGCTTGTCCCGCTTCGTGGTAACCCACATGCTACCAACCAGAAGCTAATTTCTTACATCTTCTGACTCTCTGACTTCTGGACATATTCCCCCCTTCGCCTCCGAAACCACATATTCTGCCCCCTCGTTTCAATCCATTTCGCTATCACCTGAAACTGATTAAAAACAGATCAATGGAAATTGATGAAATCGCAATCCTTCTAACTCTTTGTTCTCTCAAAGGGTCCGTTTGAGCGCATATGCGATCTTAGGTTATCTAATTGTGAGCCATTTTCTTCATTGGTTTCTCAGCTTGACGTATGAGGATGACACAACCCGCAGCTAACTTACTAGTTTTAAACTCTGTCGTTCATTAGTTCCTCCAGAAGAGACGGCGAAAATATTGGCCTAGTTGACATGCCTCACTCACTGTCGTTGTCAGCCGCACAGGAAGAATAAGGGGGTCGAAAGGGTCTCTGACGGGGATACAGGAGAAAAGTTTCGAGCGGTACGACGGCGTTGAAGGGCGCAGGCAGAAGCATTTTGGATCATAACCACCCCTCTGTGATGGGCTCTTCAGCTCTCGCAAATCTCAATGAACCAAAGAAACTGGCGAGGGTTTGCTCCAGCCGCGCACTTCTACCATAGCCTTCGTCGGTAGCAGCAGGATCAGCCGGTTGATATGGGAAGGTTCTACAAGATCCTTCATTGCCGCTACTGCAGGCTTCGGCCGTTTTGACCTTTGCAATAATCTTCCAAGTCGGTGCTGTTAGAGCAAAACGGCCGTTAGATCTGAGGGGCCGGTAGCGACTAGAAACGAAGAAGGGAGGCGGACATAGTAGCGGTAACGACTGCGGCCTAACCAGCAGACGAGTTGAAATAAATCGAGAAGGACCTCAGACTTGGGGCAGGCTAGTTCCTAAAGTATAGAACGCTCACTGGATTGCTGACTGTTAGCTCAGCGACGACCAGGAGGCGAGCAGCGAAATCGGAACAGTGATGAGTAAAATAGGAAAATGGGCAAATAATCGGAAGACGGATTTAACATCCATCGAGAGTGAGCGAGAGAGAGACCAGGGATCGCGTTCTGCTTAGGTCGTCTACAAACCGCCCGCTGCCTTATTTGCTGACCCTCACGCTAAGCGACCAAGCAGCCAGCCTAACGATCCACCATCTTCATACAATCTGTCTGCGTATAAAGAAGAGAAATAACTTAAAGGGGCTAGCGAACGGAAAATGAGAGATGGAAAGAGACGAAAAATGAGAGGAGAAAGAAGTTTCGAGCATAACAAAAAAGCACTAGTGTGATCTCTGAAAAACAGTAGGTAACATGGCTGGTACAAAGGGCAATGGGAAGTAACAAAAGACGAGAAAAGAGGGAAAACAGTGCATGACAATCAGTCAAAGAGACTAAAGGAAAAAGACAGGAGCCTTTCGGTCTTAACAGAATTCCTTGTCGCCTGCCGACGCAACTAGTTGTAGAAGCAGCATAGACAACAACAAGTCAAGGAGAATTTGACGGACTCAAAGGGACGAGCGGCCCAAGAGAAAGTATCCGACAATGCCAGCCAGTTGACTCAGTGAGGGCTGTTTAGGCTGCTGGCTAATGCGATAGACTAAAGTGATAAGCAGAGACCAAGCGTCAGCCCCGGGCCTGATGAAGAGAGCGACTGAGGAACGAGAACAGTCCAAGAACGTTCCCTATAGGATTTCGTTAACACGTAAACGAACAGCAGCGATTCTACCAGTAGCTCAAAGCAGACAAATCTCAAAGCCATCTTAGTTGCAAACTTTCTTAATGCTTCTCGCCTTGTTCGTGCCCCAGTTGTGCCTTGGCAGACCCATGCACCCGACAGACAGATGCGTTATGGGTAATCACTTACACGATTCAGTTATTAGAACGATGCTGTAATGGAAAGAGCGCGAAAGTGGGAATAGGAGGGCTAAATTATAGGTTCTTAGGGTACGAAGTAGAAAGTGACTCAAGGCGAGAAATCTAGCGGCTAAGAGAGCTGCAGCATACGAAAGTTGTGGGAGCAACTTAAAGCGTCACTACCGAAACTCTTCGTTTTTTTTTTGCAATTAGTCTGGATAGCCATTAGCTGCCCACTCCACACAGCCGCGTTTCCTGGCTGACCGAAGCGGAACGATCGCCTCAAACTCTTGGGCAGCCTTTACTTTTTATATATTTAGCCTGTTCGCTTGATACAGCATTAAAAATTTACCTTGTGTGCTGCTAATGGTATCCTAATCCCAGTTCTGCTGTAAAAGATATTGTGAATAGCCTTTGGATGTAAAAAGGCCTTCAAAATGTTCTAATATATTCCGGAACGGTGGTATTACTACTTGAGACATATATCTTCAGAATAATAGGGCCATCCAAATATTCGCGTGTAACTATTTTGACCGAACTCGGAGTGTGAACATGCCTGGACGCTCTATAATAACGGATTAGCTAAGGTTTCGTGATCGAGTCTTAAATTTCTACGGTGCATACCCATGAAAGCTGAACTGAAAAAAAACATTCACATATAAATAGGCGTAAAAGAGAAATTTTCTAATATCGGCAGCGAATCATATTTAGGTGCAATAAAAACAGCCACATACAGCATAAAAGCCAGAGGTGCATGAAAAACTTCTTCCAAGAAACCAAGTCAAAGCTGACTTTGCGAGGGCCCATCACGGCAACCAATACTAGATGCTTCCAATAAGGGAAAAAAGAGGAGTTCGTTACGCTATATCAAAAATGCTACTCGTGCCTGGAGTTAAAACCAAACTGGTCAAAGTAGGTTGAAGAAAAACATGGGCTATATTCTGCACAGGTTTGCGGTTTCGTCATCAATAATCGAAACTGAATGCCGAACTGCTTAACTTCTACCACGAGAGCAATTCGAACTTAACTTGCAAGTAATAGATACGCACTGCATTTTCAATGTGAAATATCTACTGCAAAAGCTCTTTTCGGATCTGAAGAAGTTTTCTAATAATAAATAAAAACATACTGAAAAATCGGCCTTCGTCAGATTTTCATAGCAATTTATTTTTCAATCTATGTTACGAACTCGTAACTTCTAAGAAGACAAATTGAAGAATTTGCTAATCTATAAACATAGAAATAGCGCTCGAATCTCGTTGAAAACATCTTAAACGATATAAAGCGGTCCATAGTCTTCTTTTTTTAAATATGTACTCATAAAAGTCTCCGGCGATTTGCAAGTGAAGTACATGAAAATTAGCTGTAATTAAAGTTTTCAAATTCCACCTTTATAGGTTTAGTAGTCACATCCTGAGATCGGTATATCTCTAAAATCGAACACTTTACTTGTTCTAGTATCAAACTAGGTGATTCCCGTGAGGGGCCACGTATTTGCCTGCTAACCTTAGAGACATGTTGTGGTCTAGGTTCGAGGTTCGTTTCGCCATAGCTGGAAGTCAGCCAGTCGTCTGACGGAATGCCTAACGGCGATACTGGACATAAAAACCAAAACATAGAGTGTATCAAGCTAGGTGTTCTAAGAAGTCTAAATCATTTATTCCTATTGGCAACAATAGAATTGACACATCGCAATTGTGATTCGAAAAACGCCATTTGGCGCCCTGTTCGAACCGTTAAGAAATGGCTAGACCTGCGAATACAGTTAGTCTACGGTAATCAACGACATGGATGTCTCAGGATGAAGTTTCATGACTGGCAAATGAACCTTTCAGTAAAAAAAGCTTTGCTGATCGCTTTAGGGCGAATTAACGAGTGACTTTGATCTCTTTGCGGCTATAGAAAGGTGCGGAAAGCGGAGAAACGGGTCTCTGTTCAGATTAAAAACCATTATTATCTGTGTCACCTTGTTATTGGAGCTGAGACCTTTTGCCCCCAGCACTGATCGTAAAGCATCAAAAGTTAACCTCGAATAATCAGCTCGATCTTGCGCAAAACAAATAAATAGAACGTTTTTTATGTGCTTGATAGATGATAAACTGCTTGATAGATAAAAACAGTATTTTAGTTCAAGCTTGCCAAACTTCGGAAAAGATTTAGGGCAGGGTTGTTAGGTGATTAGAGTCTGGACTAAACCCTTTATTGGTACTTAAGGAAGTGACAAAATCGTTTTGTTGCATTCATTGCCAGTGGCATTGCGAGATACTATCTTCCGCCCTAATAAGAGGGTGAACGAGTCGTTGGGATGTTTATTTGTATTTCTATTTGTTTATACCAAGTCTCCCTTATACCTTGGCTTACAGTTGCGAATGACGTGATAAATATTAAAGATCACAGCGGTAATTATATTGATCAGAGATGACTAAACACTATATTAAACTAAACATTGATTAAAGAAGCTAAGAATGTATTTGTGCTCCTACTATATATTTACCTAGACAGATACATGAGCAACCGCTGGCTCTTTACTACACGTCCCCCTTTTTTATTCCATATAGGTTGTTGGAAAACTTCTTTGATGACCCTAGAGTACTAGTAGCACGTTTCCTGTCGCCTTTGTCATCTTTTTTGCTATCTAATCCGAGAGAAGACAAACCGAACGTCGTTTTAGCTGGCGTTTGTTGCTTTTTGAACTTCCGCATTTCGTTTACTCGCCCGAATGAACACTGAGGAGCTTCAACGGTTCGTCTTTACCCGACTGTTTCATTACCGCCGAACCAAAAACAACTAGAAGGAAACAGCAATGGGTAAACTCTGCAAATTTCACATATGCCCCTACAATAACACTAATCCATGTCGTATATGAAACATACATTCTTATAATACATAAATCGTACACAAATTACTATTTTTTATTATGATTTTTTTTTTTTCGTTAGAGTGGAAAATCTTGTGAGCTTTTGTCATCTTGGGTGGTAAGTAGATCTACCTGTTTGAGTGCGTCAAATAAAAGCCTTAAATTGTCGTAAAAAGAAGCCAATGCCTTTTTTATAAGGCGGTACAGTCGCACGCTACTTTTAGCAGCTAAAACGTAAAGAAAAGTGATGTAAAACCTTTCATCGACGTAAAGCAGATAACTAACTGTACACATATGTTTATGTAGCCATGTATACATTCCTAGGAAATTACGGCCGGTAGTATATTAAGATTTGAATGTTATTTGAGAACAGAGTCCGCCTGTTGTTTCCTTTTCCCTTCGCTCCGATCACGCAAATTATTCAATAATGGCTAGCGAAATTGGGTTAATAAACCTCTCTGTCGCATAACCAAATGAGTCGAGCATTGGCTTGACAGCCCACCTAAAGTGGCCACGGCGGCAATGGCAACAGCAGAAAAAATACACGGCCATTCCTAGCGCTGCCAAAGTCAAGGACACCTAGTCAAGAATAACAACGCCAACAACATGTTAAAAGAGCATCTATTATTCGGCTTTTCGGGGGTGTATTATGGGGTTAGAGAGGCATGTGCTTGAGTTAGGTGTAGACGGAAAACTCAGCCACGCAATAGAGGCACGACTGGCTATAGCTCGCTTGTACCATAGGTTTCACAATTATAGAGTTGTTTTTGCCTCTTAATTTTACGGACATGTGGTGATTTAGATTTGAGTCCAGGCATAGACGTTTTGTGTTGGGAGCTAACCTTTTGAAGTGGTGGCGGACGTAATGCTCGAGATATTCAGCTTGGGTGCCGCAGGCCCATGTTGACAATATTAACCAATAGGTGAGCGAACGAAACAACCCTCCGCAGGGCATCGGCGCCTCAAAGTGGACTACAAAAGCCGATATAATAAGCCAGACCTGGGTAGACTGTCCGGCTCAAACGATAATGCCGATGTGCTTTATGCTATCTAATCCGCTTAAAGCAGTGTAAACGGACAATTACGGTTCCGCAAAGCGCACTCCACCCGTTTGTAGCAGGATCATCATTAACGTCAAGCTAAAACGACGTGCGTCAATTTTTCAGCTCAAAGGGAAATGGGTAGCGTTGGCCACTAGAGGTCCACTCGTTGTCACTGACACCACGAACATATCATCCTATATTACAAACTGGATCCTTGCAGGCTATCGACAAACCTCAATTTTCCAGTTACAAAATAAAAAAACTGCTCTGGGAGGTGAGATCCTGTGGAAGTTTCTCATTTTTGATAGGGTACGATGTCGTATTATTAGCTTAGGACACAAGCATCTTACATAGACTGTTTAGCATAATTAAAAATAATATTCATAATGATCGATTCGTTCCAAAGTCATCAAGGTTATGATTGTACTGGAGAACGCCGCGACCGATCACTATTGACCAAATCAGATTTTTTAGTTAAAAGTACATAATTAGCGCTTCTTTTTTTTGTAGAAAATTCTCAAGCTGCAGTTGATTTCACCCTTTTAGTTGCAGTATAATTTGGGATGCGTCAATTAGAAGGACATCCACTTCAACCAAAATAAGATCATTTTGAAAAATCATAAGTTCAAGAATTGTCAAAAGACATAAAAAAAAGTTTAGGGTTTTTCTCGAGGTCAAACAATTTAGCTAGCAATAATGTTATTTATTTGGGTGTTTAACTTTTACACTTGAGTAATTACGCAAAAACGGCCTCGAAATCTCTAAAAAATCCATCGAAGTATACACGATAGGATGGGTTTAGTTTCTGTAAGCCAGATCACGATCGTGCCTTTAGCTCTAATTGGTAAAAATGCCTCCAGGAGGGAGCCGATGAACACTTTCGGTTCAACAAATATGAACTTCAGAAATATATATTCTGTATTATTATATTTTATTCTTAAGAACTAGCTAGGGCACTTAAAATTACTTATGGAGTAGTTCAAGCCCAGGAATACGTAAGTCTACGCAGTCAGGAGAATCCTTATTACACGTATGTAGCAACTCCAATGACCAAGCATTTGAGGGCCACTGCTTTAGGCGAACAATCCTTTGATTTTTGTATCTCATAGAAAACAAGGAAACGTCGAACTGCTGTAGTTTCCAGTAAGACTGTTCAGTTCCAATAGAGACTCACACCAAGATCCCGAGCGCTCGTTCCTCCACAGTATGTGCAGCGCTTTATACGAAACCTTTTTAAGGCCCACGGACATAACACCCGCAACGAAAGGCCCACCTAAAAAATTCAGGAACTTAGTCAGAA